ACTAGAGGTAGGCAGTTAAGCTGCCATCTTGTGATAAATTTAATTTTTAATTTAGAAATGTTCTGGAAGAAAATAACTGGCCCAGAGTCATCCGCAGTTGGCACTGTGAGTAACCAGTATAGTTATATCTAAAATTAATAATTCTGGAAGCAAAGTTTGAATTGAGGTCTGGGTAGCATAATTGGCTATGCAGGTGTTGTGGATTTGTATCCTGCTCGAGGCTGACTCTTTTCTTCCAGAACATTTAAATTAAAATGAATTTATACACTTCTCAAAAGGGAAATCACAACAAAGAATGCACATTGCAGGACCAGTAGAAATGTTAGATATGCAACAGACACAAGTTTATTCAGTAACAAATATGGTTGTTATATGATGAGTCATACTATCAATGAGGCAATTAATGGTTACCTGAGGTATCCCTTGCCAACCTGTGTCCACTGAGATTCACATGCCATCTACAATAAGTGATGGTGGTCCTCGGTGCACCTCATGTCTGACCACAGATGTTCAATGGGGGAGAGATCCAGCAAGGCTGACAGCCAAGGAAAGATGTGAATTCCATTCAGGTCGGTGAGAGTTTGCCATGCAACATGCAATCAGGCATTATCTTGCTTGAACACCATATCAGGTCTAGCTAGCCTGCACTAGTGGCCAAACACAGGCCTACAATTCAAGTGATGTACTGGTTCGCTGTCAGAATACCAGAAATGTTCACCAGGGCTTTCCGCTGATTGAACATGATGCCTTCCAAACCATTATGCCTGATTTGGAGTTGGTGTGACACTCAGCGAAAAGGACTGGCACATAGCTGTGGACAGGTGTGCATGGCAGTATCCTGGCTATCATTTCTCCACAGAGAGAAGTGGGATTCATCTGTAAACAATACTTGATGCCAATCAGTGGTCAGTTGTGATGATGACACCACCATGCCAGGTGTGCAACCCTGTGTTGAATAGATAATGGCATTCCAGTTGCTGATTGCCATGCATGCAACCTGTTGTAAATGGATTGGATTGAATTGGATATAGATGCATCCATTGACAGCAACAGGCAGCTTTGGATGTCATATGCTATGGCAAAATGGGTCCTGATGAGCCGTTAAGCAAATCTGCTGGTCTGTGCACTCCATCATGCACCAGTGTGATCCACTTCCTCTTCAGTGTATTCACAAATATTCCTGTGTCTATCATGTCACACATCACTGGATGATACTCATATCGTTCCCAATACATGTATCAACTGTGTGCATCAACAAACAGAGTCATGCAGCTCCAGGATATGGTCTCCTTCTCCAGCTGTTAACTGATGGTATTCAGCTTGCTGTCATCTCAGAGGCATTTTCTAGGATTCTTAAAAAGTTCAGTGCCATAAACAGTCACTGATAGAATTTACGGTCCAAGCCAGCATGAATGCTGTCATGAATAATTTAGTTTTTAACATTTGTAGACGTCGTAGCCTAGAAAGAAAGGTCGACGTCGAAATCATTTTTAATTGTGAATTTTTTAATAGCATTTGTCTGTTTTAGAAGTTTTACTTCAAGTCACCTGATGTTTGTGGTTCCTGGATTGGAATTAAAAAAGATATGAATGGGGAAAAAAGGACTCTTTGTTTGTATAGTCTTAAATTTTCAAATTAACTATAACAATCCTGGTTTAATGTGTACAATTTTTAAGTTTTTCTTCTTAATATATAGGAAAATACATAGCAATTGAATTTCTCTACCATTTTATTATGGATATGTTACCGCTAAAGCTCGAAATCCGTTAATGTGTACATTACCTAGCTAATCTGCAGATTAACTAGGGTGATCCGTTAAAGCTGCGAAAATTGTTCAATTTCTCAAATTACCTAGGTAATTTGCAGAGTATCTAGGTAATCTGCACATTAACGGCTTCCGTATCGTTAAAGTTCAAAAGTTTGTTTCTTTCACTTCCTTTCCCCACTCCTTCTTTTTACGTAGATAAATTTAAATCCTAGAATGCAAGCAAGCACCGAATTGGTGAGTAAAATCAAGAAAAGATTCTTCGCAAACCTCTTTAGCGAAGATTTAAAATATAATACGTAGTGTTTTAATAACAAACCAAAGTATGATTCCATAATTGAAGATGTAAAGCAAATAAAAGTTTCCAAGAAGAAAGAATCATCTCGAGATTATCAAATAATTCAAAGGTGTGATGTGTTGACTGTACGAGGCTGTGAAAAACTCATTGAGCCGTTGTCAGATGCGCGAGAAAGGTTTGAAAAAGTTTGTCCATGCCGGAGAATTGTTTGACATTCGATAAAAACTGAAGAAGACCTTGAAAAATTAGAAGATTCACAAGAGACTGTGATTATGAGATCACAGTCAAATCTTACTCAAGAGGACATTCCGTTATCCCCCGCTTCTACAGAATCACCTATAGAAATACAAGAATTTACCGATAGTAATCTTAAACTGCCTTCTATACCGTTGATTGATGATGCAGTCACGAAGAATATTCAGTTACCCTGCACCTCCAAGGAATCGCCTCTGCAAGTTGAAGAAGTCATCACTGAGTTACTCTCAACTTCAGCAGAATCGCCATCACAGTTTCGTACGGAGCCTGTAAAGAGCACTATACAAGACATAGTCTGTATTGTTTGCTCAAAAGCAGCATCAAGTGCTCACAAGTGTAAATCGTGTAATATGTTTGTTCACGCAGTTTGTGGTGAAGTAGATCCTAAAGAGGAAGGGTATGGTAAGAATGTATTGTGCATCATCTGTAAAAAGAATATGGATCAGAAAATACAGCGTGATGAAGCCAAGAAATGTTTAGAAAAGCAAGCAAAGAAAATGTTAGCAGTTTCTAATGCAAAGCACCCAAACGTCGATGAAGGTTTCGCTGTGAGAATTAAAGTACCCGAAGAAGACAGAGCAAAAACTGATGCACGTTCAATTTTAGCTGTGGTTCTTAGTAAAACAGAGGATGGCTTTTATAAACTTGATACTAAAACAGGTATTTTAAAACAATTGTATGCAAAATCTGAATTCAGTGTTTGCAAAGAGAGATTTTTAACGAAAGAAGATGGATGTCCCTGCTGTAGAAATATCTTTACGTCAAACAGCAATAAAACAATCCCTTGGTACTGGGCAGGGTTTCAGAAAATGTGACTGCAAATCTAAATGTACCACAAATAGGCGTGCTTGTCGCAAAAACCAATTGCTACGTAATTCAAAGTGTCACCAATCTTTAGATTGCACTAATAAGTAAGTACAATTTTATCATATGTTTTGCAAATTCATTTCCCTAATTGTAGTAATATTTTAAACCGTTTGATTTTTGTATTAAAGTTTTTTTAATTGATTGATGATTGATTCAATCAACTAATTTGTTGATTGTATTAACTTGATTCTTTAGATATTGAAAATTAAATAAATAACATTATGTTAATTTAAGCGTACAGAAACGTTGCTGTTGTTCCAGCAAAAATCTTATTTTCACTTTACCGAGTGCCTAGTAGGTAATTTGCAGATTACCTAGATAATCTGAACATTACCTAGGTAATTTGAGAAATGGAATAATTTTCGCAGCTTTAACGGATCACCCTAGTTAATCTGCAGATTAGCTAGGTAATGCGCACATTAACGGATTTCGAGCTTTAGCGGTAACAGATATATATAAATAAATAATCCATATATACTTATATAATTCTTACACCATACTACTTTTAGTGTAACCTCCTCCTACACCTACACACTTTTTCAATTGTCAATGCTTCTTATCATAAAAAATAGCATCCAGTATTGCTTTGATGTCTTTAAAGGCTTTTGTCACTGCAGCTTCTGCTTTGTTGCTTATTTAAATTTTTATCTCCTTCAATTTCACTTTCATTTTAGGGAACAGATAAAAGTCTATGAAGGCAAAATTAGGAAAGTATTGTTATGTCCTTCTTGGTCAAATACTGATAACCAATGGAAGCCAAGCTGGATGCTGCAGCAACAAGAATCCTTGAACACATCATATAACATGACTTCCAATCAGTACTGCTTCCAATACTGCTTTGACAGAAGTAAGTAGCCATATAGATGACAAAGTGGTTAAGTTGACAGATTTGGGGATCTGAGATTGAATCCAAATGAATAGGAAAAAAAAACCCCCAAGAATTTTGCAATAGGGTAGAATTTTGCATGGACCATCCCTCATCACCTGGCCAAACCCATAATGAGCTTGCTAAAAATGCACTCTTGATACCAATAATAAAAAAAAAGTTAAGCATCTTCTGCAACTACATTTTTTTTAATTTTATTTTGAAGATGGTCTTCAGTAAATAACTTTTATCATGATAATAGTAAAAATTAATATATGCAGAGTCAAAAATAAACTAACTTAATATATTTATATAAGTATAGATTATAAAGAGATGATATTAAATGTGATTACCTTGCCTCTCAGTTGGAACACCATGGCAAAATGTGATGTACAAGTCGGGTCCTTCATTTAATGTAAAACAATGCAATGGAAAAAGTGCATGTAGGACTTTACAAGAAGAACCTTTTAGCAATTTATTAATAAATGCCTCAAAAGCATATTTAATTCTGCAAGAAAAGTTTATGGTTTTATTAAAATGACGTAAATAGCATTGATAAGTTATAAAAATATGAAAATTAAATATTAATGTATAATTTTAATTATTATTTCATTACTACTGTTTCTGATGTAGCAAATTCAGAGATCATTAGATAACAAATTTTTCTAATGAATCAAGATTTCAATGAGTATTAAGACCACAGGTTTTAAACATAAAACAGATGATAATTCTTAAAATTATACATGGTATTACAATTCATCATTGTCAAACATAGGAAATCACAACAAAAACATTTGTATTATGGCCTCTGTTAAATAGAGATGTAACTGAGAAAAACTAATCTTTTTATCGCCACAAATGATGTTATTACAATATCCAACAAAAAGAACCTTTTCAGGACTAGGATTAACATAGTCTTGTGTTTACAGAAAGTATCAAGAAACAAATAATAATTGCTAACCTATACAGAACAGATGGTTGTAATGCCCTAAGTATAGAGGAAGTACACAGAAACCCTGAGCTGAGACTACCTAACATCTCCAAGAATAAAGACCAAACAGAGTACCATGATAAATATATTAGTGTCAGTTTTACAAATTTAATATAATAATAATACTTCAACATACACTCAGACTCATTGAATATTATACAACATATACACCTTATTGCTGAGAATCATTTTTACTACTTTAACTAACATTTTCAACCTGATCAGCAGGCCGTTATCAGTTTACTGGAACATTTACAATTGTTCTATAATCAAATCAATATGCAATAACCTTAAAGTTAAAGTAGTAAAAATGATTCTCAGCAATAAGGTGTATATTTTGTATAATAATAATAATGTTTTTGTTTCTACGACTGTAACTCAGTGATGGTCTGTATGTTGCCCTACTAAGCTTGGAAATGTATATTTTATCTTAAATTTGGATCTTAAGCTAAACTCAGTTAATTCCAGCATAATTATTGGTGGTTTTAACTCCACTAATTATCATGCCAAGACTGCTAGAATGGAAATACAGCATGAAAAGGTCTATTTACCTGAAGATAATGATAACTGAAATTATAATTACAATAAGCAAAGTTTTTATAATGTATTATAACTTTAATGGTTTGGAACCTGCTAATTTTTGATAATATTAACCAATTGATAATGTTTTTCGTGATTCAGAAAAGCAAGTCATTTTACATATACAACAAAAAATACATAAGGTGAATCAATAATATCAGAAAGTTTGATTAACTAATTGGACTGTATAAGTTTATTCACTTTTATCTCTAATCATGAAACGTCATTGTTGATAAAATCTCTAAATATCTCATGAAGGTTTAAAATTTAATATTTAGCATTAATTTGGCAATAAAAAAAAACCAAACAATCTGCAAAGATATCTATTTTATGCTCTTATGGCTTTATTTGATTGTGTCAATATACTAATATTTTTAACCCATATGTTCTAATAAACTTAATATAATGGTTTGAAATAGGAATATGTTGTTCCATATTATATGTGATTTCAGTAGTAGTTTTATAAAAATGAAGAATGATTTTGACATGTGAGTAGAAGTACAGAAAAGAGTTATCAGGGTGTTCCCTCCAAATATCAAAACAATAATTCCTGGCTATTTCATGCACTTTAACTTTTCAGAAGAAAGGTCTTTAGGATCTTATACTTTCACATTTTCATTACAAAATAAAGTTAATGATACTAAACAGTTCTGACTTTCACATGTAATGCATATCTTAAAATCACACAATTTGATAAGATTAGGACTTATCACACAGAAAAGTATCTGAAAGTGCAGACAAAATCGCATAGAACTGTCATTTTGAAGAATGCATTTTGGGTCTAGACCTCTCTTCAATTGTTAATGAAACATTTAAAGGACTGGTCCTGAGCAAAGTCAAAAGGAATGTAAAAAATTTATTGTTTGATATTAATTACTGAGAGTAATACAGGAAATCCTTGTTAATTCAAACTCATAGTTTAAAATCTTATTAGTTTGTAACTGTACTATTTGTCCCAGCTGGGGATGTAGAGATTTACATGTTGAGGAATTCAGTTAGTTCAAAATAAGGTTACTTCAAAATTTGAAGTGAAAATTCTGTCTGAACTGTGATATGCATATGTTAGCTCATTTATTTATATTGAAGTGCCTCCATATTATAAGAGAACAATAGACCAAGAACAACTCTAAATCTGGTCAGCATATTGCATTTAAAGTAACACATTTTTGGGTGTTACTTTACCCATGGACTACCCATTTCTCTTATCTCAAAATATAGCTGGGTTTCAAGATTGCAGGATTACAAGCAGCAGATTGATATTGTGGCTGTCGGCCATAGTTTTATATATATTTTTGTTAATTTTAGTTAGGCTTAGCATCTCCTCTGTTCTTTTGTCTTAACTGTTCTAGAACTTTCTCCCTTAATCCCTATTCCCTCAGGTGACATCACCGATTCTGTGAAACAATGTCAAGAAGACAAAAGGAGCAATAACCCCCTGGAGAGGAAGCGAGGTGAAAGAAAGGAGAAGCGGCTGTGATTTCGTCGAGAGAGGACGAAAACGAGCGTGGTCCTGACCGAGGGGTCGAGCAAGAAGTAAGAAACCTTGCGATAGAAAACCGAAGGAGGATCATACCCTGATCGCATAGTGAGAGATCAGAGGTATCGGAACCTTGTAAGACGGCTGAATTATAGAGGAACGTAGGGCAATTGCTAAAGAAATCGAGTTCCCCCATGTTCAAGTAACGGCAAGCGGGAAGACCACAAGACAACTTCAGAAAACGTAGACGTTCATAAGAGGAAAGAAAATAAGGTCTGCAGTCATTAAGAATTTCAAGACGGTGAATCATCCGAGACCACGTGGCAGAAAACTCCCGGGTATTTTCTCCTTTATTCTACTACTATCCCTATCTATATTTTATTTCTCCTTCCTTAGTTTGTAAGTAGGTTAAGTTTAGCTATAAGTCATGTGTTGGTTGCCACAATAGAGGCTTGTTTGTGTAGACGATTATTGAATGTATACGAACCCAATAGTCTGTAAGTTGGAATCATTTTAAAGAACCTGTGTTTGATGAATAAAAAAAATTTTGTATTTTTACTTGTTTTATATGTTTCCTGTCTGCAATAATATATTGCCCTCAAACGAAACATCACAATATAATTGTAAGGCTCTAGATTTGGGTTGAATTCTGCTTTACTTTTTATAAAAAGTATCTGGCAATCTTTGAGGTTTTCACCATGTGCATATAAATAAACTGCAGGTAACCAGACATGTGCTGTTTACCTGCAGTTTATTTATATTAAGAAAATATTAATACTGTCTATCAGCATTATTATTTTACTTGTAATATTACTACAAGTACTTTCGACAAATTTCAGATTGTCTTCTTCAGGTATAGAATAATGGAACCTTACAATTTGAAATATATACACTAATGTGTTCCAAACATATTTCAAATTGTAAGGTTCCATTATACTATATCTGAAGAAGACAATTTGAAGTTTGTCAAAAATACTTGTAGTAATATTTCAAGTAAAATAATAATGCCGATAATTTAAGAAAATATTAACACTGCTTCATGCAATGCCAAATAGACAATTTTGAGCATTTTATATTATTATTAATTAACAAAAATAGCATTCTGTATACTTAGCCATATTCCATTTACTTAATAAAGTACATCAGTTACGTGGCATTTGGCATATACTGAAATATGTAAATCTCGAATAATTTGAAGTCACAATTATTTTATACAATTTATTTTATTTTATACAATTATTAGCTCCTGAATTTCATACTAAGAAGGATTTTCTATATAGGGTGCCATTTGTTGAGTATTAAATGTCAAGTTATAAAATAAATCTTAAAAATTTTACCTTGTAGGGTGCCAAAGGGAGATTGTAAAATGAATTGTAATCTAAAAACTTTCAAAAAAGTTACAAAATAAGATTAAAATCAAAATTAGAATAAAAAGCAAAATAACTAAATAATTTATTACCTATGTAAAAATATCAAGTTTAAAAAATCTTTGTAAAAGGTGTAAAACTGGTAGCTCAAAAATGACTTAAAATTGTTTAAAAAACTGTAAAAAAAAAACAATTTTTTTAAAGTTAAATATAAAAAAGTAAAAGAAAAATATTAAAACTGATAAATAGTTACCAGGATAAAATATTTGTTTTAAAAAATAAAAAAATTAAATAATAAAATAAAAATTGGATAAAAAAATTTTTGTATGATTAAGTACTTTAAGAAAAAGGGTAAAAAAAAATTAAAATAAATATAAAAATTGTAAAAAGGCTACAAACACACTGATAGACATACAAAAAAGTCATATAAAGTAAGAAAAGTCAAGGTACTGATTGTGTTTAGGTGTTAAATAATTGATTTCTTTAATGTACTCTTTCAACTACATTAATGCATATTGCTAGATCTCACTCAAAATTAATCCATCATTAAATTTATCTTCAAATTTCTTGGAATTTTTATAGTTTTTAAGTGTTCATGTAATTTTCTTTTAATCATATTTTATTAAAAGAGAGAAGTGTCATTATTATTTACTAAGATTTGGCAACTGGCACTGACAGTGATAAGATCAGATAGTTTCATGTGTAATATGTCCTAATTTTATTAAATTGTGTGATTTAAGAAGTACAATAATTAATAGGACAAGATTTGATCACAGCATTCCTTAAAATTCATATATAATCAAATGTCTGAAAGTTGAACAATAAATTTCATGTTATAAAAAGAGGTCTATTTCAATAGCCAATCAGAGGGTACAATTTTTAATTCAATTAATAAAATTATCAATATAGATTGTTATAAATAGATTGTTATGTTTTAATAAACATTTATGAAAGAAATAATAAAACTACTGTTAGCAATAAAATTCTTAGAAATGGCCTGTCACCAATACCTGGATCTGCTACTGTCGTAGTAAGCTAAAAATAAAACTTAAAATCACTTAACATAGAAAAGTTATATTTTTACAAGGAATATT